CTTTAGTTTTGATGCAAAAACGCATGATCGCACCGGCTCGCCTGGTGCGTTCCAGCCTTTGTTAGTCATTTACATCGAAGCAACTCATGCACAGCCTTCACCTCCCCCCTCCTCCCCTCCCTCGGCTCTCCCCCGGCCTCCCGCCCGCCTCCTCCGTCTACCCGTCCTCTTCCTCCCTCCATCTTTTGGGATGGGACAGCTCATGACTGAGCATTAGATGGTAGATATCTGAGTGATTATATTACGCAGCAAATAAAGAATATAGAAAAACAGGTTGTTATCATTGCAGTACCGATCAGTATCAGCAATGCAGTCGATGGTTGACTCTATTGTAACGGTATCGCATGCGGCACACGATCTGAAGTTGCTGGTGAAACAGTGTTGTGATTAAATTGCTCGATTACGTCTGACTGCAGTGCTACCAAAAGTCAATCTTCTTTTTCTATACAAAAGGCATTCTCACGTAGAATAGGAGGAAAGAGTCACATCAGTCAGCAGGATGCAAGATCGTTTCCTCGTTCGGCTGGTTGCTTTGAAATAGGCTAGTCGGGTTTGGCTTCCCTGCAATTGCCTGTACTAATTTGTCATCAAGAACAATGAACGAGTCGTAAAGAGGAATTGTAACCCCATAAGCGAAGTCGAACTCTCCATTTTCAGCACGACCGTGGGCTGCTTATAATACGCTATGCTCGCCCGACTGAAACAATTAATACAAAAAGTGGAAAGAGCCATTGTTGTCAAGAGTCACATTTTAAATTCTTTTGAAGGTCTGTCTGAGTGCACCGCTAGTACATCACACCAAGAATTCCTTGTGTGATATATCAGTAGCGTAAAACTAGTTGGCTATTGTGCTTTTTTCAGGGCTATTTTCCTTCATAAGAAAAATAAGCCCACCAGCGAAGTCCTTTTTCTCGGAAAAATAAAGCCATATTTTTGTCTAGAAAGTCTCGTTGGTTTCGAGCTCTCCCTTGGAGATTTTTGAATTAATTACGATCCTTTTCTCCAACCAGCGAAAGTTGAAATAGAATATGAATCCTCAGGAGAACTGAAAGCGTGCTGAAGTGAGAGTGTTTTACACACTGTGAAATGTGGCGCTGAAGAAACCTGTTGTTTGCACCACTTTAGACAGATCGTGCGAGCAAGACAAGCTATTAATATTTCTTCAAATTGTATTTTTAAAATTTTCCTTGTTTTTAACGTATAGCTGATGCTTTAGTTTTCAGAGCAAGCAAATTTGACATGGGGACGCGTGATGGTTGGTAATTCTTTATGCACAGGGCGAAACGCCATGAAACTGATTTCCCTTTTTCTCTCCTCCCTTTCCACTCAGCGTATCTCGAATGTGGGGAAAAAGCGGCATCCTCTCGTTCCCACAAACAATTAATAAACTGCGTGTTCAGGAATTTCATTTGCGTTGTATTTTTAATTTCAAGTATTCTAATTTCTCAGTAATCTACGAAAGGTAACATGTTTTAATAAGAATATTTTCGTGCCTTAAAACATGACAGTTTATGTGTACCGTCAAGACGTCATAAAATATTGTCTTTCAAGTATGCATAACAGCTGAAGTTACTCAATGCCCCGATGCGTGTAGTAATAATTTAATGCGCCAAAGATGCTAACATAAACAGCCTCAACGACTGAACAGCTACAAACAAACATACAAAGAAAAGTTTAGAAAATTTACAGGTTAGCTGAAATTATTACAATACGCATTAGAATTCATGCTACACAATTTGTTCCGTAACACAGCGGCTAAATAAAAAAAATATTACTACCAAAACCAGTTCGATAGCAATTTTTTATGCATCTTTGCACTTCATGCAAATACAACCCAGGCAGCAACGCACCAGGCTTAACCTTGCAGTCATGCATCTGTGCATTGAACTTGCAACATTCAGATCGTAAAGAGCAGGTATGACTTCCGCGTTGTGGCTTAACACACTGACTCTTACTGGTTGTGTTTTGGCCTTTTCCTGGGCGTCGGCTGGGATGGTAACGTTGCATCATGGGGCATGATTTTCTGCATGATGGGGCATGATCTGCACGATGAAGCATCATGGGGCATGATCTGCATGACCTTCAATTTTATGTAGCGCCTGGTTGTTTTACCGGTGGGTGGTGGTTCAACGAAAAATATAAATGAAAAGCGCATAGGATACCGAAAGAGAACTACGAAATCCGTGAAATGCACTCGCTTTTGAGTTTGCTGTAAAACTAA